CTCTGCACGTCACCGTGAAAAGTGTAGCCCCCCTGCTGACCGGTTTGTTTCCCCAGCACTCCACGCACTCACCAGGGACAGGAGAAAAGCCCCAGGCTCTGGAGCCAGCTGCTTTCACTGCCACAGCCTGCTCCAGTGTCTCGGGCTTCCCTCCTGTGCCCTGTGAGTGCAGGGAGCATCAGGCAAACAAAAGGCTCAGCAGGAGCTGCACTCCTTGCAGCGCTGGCTGGAGGCAGTTGCCGGGCACCAGCACCAAGCAGATGCTACCCCCATGGCTGCTGCTGCCCCCGCTACCTGCCAGGGCTGTGCGGCATGGGGGAAAGTCCCCGTGTCCCTGCCCACCTGAGCTCTGTGCTGCTTCCACCCCCCCTGGCTCCGCACTCCCACTCAGCTGCTGCTTCCCCTCCCCTCTTCCTGTCTGCTGCCCAGAGAGACCAGCACACCAGGGAAGCCTGCAGCAGCAACCCCACCCATGCTAGCTGGGCCAGGCCTTCCACCAAAAAGGGTGGGAGTGTGAGGCATAATAGGATATGTTGGGAGCGGGCATAGATGCCTCGCTCCCACCCTCATACCCACCCCCTGGCTCAGTGACTGGTGCCTTCTGCGTCTGGGGGGGCACCTGGGCTCCCCCTGTGGCCAATTGCCAAGCCTGGAGGGCAGGGGAGGGGAGTGGGGGTCCCCCATGCGCTCGGCAGCAGACCAGAAGTATTTCTGGTCCGCTTCTGGGTCCACCGCCGAGCACGCTGGGGGGCCCTCCATGCTCCTGTGGGATGCTCCATCCTCCCCACCTTTGCAGTGTTCAGGAGCCATGCCTGGTAACTCGAGGTGTGTAGAAAAAACATTTAAAGCTGGCCAAATTGCTGATTCTCCGAATCAGCAACAATCTTCCGATTCAGCTGAATCGAATTGGGGACAGCCATCCGAATCAACTAATCGAATCACTGTCCTCCGATTTGGGCTGAATTTGAATCGAATATGGCCTGTTTCGCACGTGCCTAGTAATAGGTTCTCAGATCAAAGTGTAGCATCAATCCAAACTAGTGACTGGCTTGCCTACTAATTGCACTGAGCTCAGCATTGCACATACCCATTTGTGAAAGAGTGCATGGAAGCATTTTATTTCTCCCTGTGGGCAAGGGGGTTAAGTAACTTATGGATTCTTAAGCCATCAAAGCTTTGTTTGTAGCCAGCCCACCACCTCTTGGTTCATTCTGCTCTTCAGGCTGCTGTTGTGACCCACAAGGATGTTGTGGCATGGTTTTTTGGGACTGACTTATTTTCCTACCATGCTGAGATTCATACCTCTAGCTGCTTCTCACAGCCTGGATCACCTTTCAGCACATGGCAACAGCAGGAAGTGAGGGGTGTAATATAATTGACAAATCCATTTTTATCATTTCTGTTTTATCTCAATAGAGGAAAACAAGCTGATGTTGAATGATGATATTACCTCTGCTTAATACCCTTGCTTACCATTGATTTCCTCTTATTAGCTTACTGGAATCCTGCTGGTTAGAATTCCATAAGTATTATCCCAATGCAATAAATGTTTTAATTTTAATTGTATATACACAATCAGGAAAAATGTCTTTGGAATTACATCACACTTATTTAACATTTGTAACATAACGTTCATTTGTTGTACAGACAAAACGCGCATTGACGTTATTTTTCCAGATGTGATTTATTAAGACTATCCTTTTTCTTTTGCATAAGTGGTGACTTGCTAAAAATAATTCTAAACATGTTACCAAAAGTATATTGATTCTAAAGTAATTTTATGTGCAGTAATGTTTTATTTTTATAAAGAAAGTGTAATTAACTAGTTCGTGTGTTTTATGTAGGTATGGATGGCAGAACAGAAAATATCTTATGATAAGAAGAAACAAGAAGAGCTAATGCAACAGTATCTTAAAGAACAAGAATCTTATGATAATAGGTGAGGACCAAAAAGAAGTAAAAAAAACAAAAAACAATAAAGCTGTAGCTTTCCCTTTCCTTATATATAGCAGGGTTGCCACAAGTGGCAGATAGAGTAGGGAGCAGAAAGCAGAGCAGAGAGTGCAAGGCAGGGGGCAGAAAGCTGAGTAGCAGATCGGGTATGGGAAAGGAATCAGAGTGGCACTTAAGGAGGGTGCGGGGTTAGTTTGTGGCATGTCTACCAAAAAGGTTGGCCACTACTGATATGTAGTGATGTACAGAAGGAGGCAGCTTACCCTCAGATGTTTTGAAGCGTCTTCTGTACCAGCTCTCAAATTTCCCCTTAGTGGAAAAGAGTTCTCATTCCTTTGGGACAGTGATTTGCTAATTTGAATCTGCTTGAGGGGTCACGAGCATGTTTTTATGAACTTTCTTTTTTTTTCCTACTTGCTCTTCCAATATTCCTTGTGTATTTGAGTAAGTGCCATACTACATTCTCTGCTTGGGGTAGCAGGTAACCTTACATGGTTCTACATTTACATTGTACATATCTGTTTTGCACAGTACTGTTAGCACAGAATTGACTTTAAACGTTCATTGTTATGCTGTGCAGCGTTGTCTGCAAAGTTTGAGCACTGTCTACATTCTTTTGATATTTAACCCATTGCATTAAGATTAACAGACAAGAAATTATTAAAGATCACAACTCCTTTGTGAATCTTTTTTGTGTGTTTTACATTATTCCTACAAAGCATATTTTTAAAATGTGGATATTTCATATCCTGTGTCCTAAAATCCATTTAATTTTTAGATTGCTTATGGGTGACGAGCGGGTGAAAAATGGTCTTAACTTCATGTATGAGGCCCCACCTGGAGCAAAGAAAGGTACTTCTGATTCATTCTTTTGTTGCAGCTAACAAGAAAAAAAAGAATTTTATACACAACTTCTTTAAAAGAATTGAAGTTGCAAAGTCATAGGCAGTCAAACTAGGAAATGCCTGATTAAAAGTTGCCTGTGTAATTGCAATTTAACTCCCTCCTCCCACTGTGTGTATGCTGTGTGTATTCGGTTCTTAACGACATAATCGCATACTACTAATTTTTTTTTTAATGTCTTGAATCAAGAAGAAATTAGGGAACTGTTTCCCTGTGGGAAGAGAAAAATAAAAAAGTTTTACGGTAACAAGAAGAGACATCTTGACACAAAGGTAGCCCTTCTGCTGAGTCTTAAGCTTCTGCTCCAAGGCATGCTAGAACTCAACAAAATGGGGAAGGTAGACCCACATTTAACCCTAATATGATTCTTGAACATGTCTGAAAAATATAAAATGTTCCAAACAACTTTCAGTCTGATGCCAACACCTAGAAAATTTCCATCTGTGCAGTTAGTTTGGTGAAGTTAGGCGCCTTCCTTTAATTTGCTTATATTATGAAGTATTGGGCTACCTTACTTATTGCAGTGCTTTGAAGTCTGAAAAACTACCAGTATTTTTTTATATGTTGGACATTGTTAAAAGTTAATGGGTGGCATGAATAAGGCAGCAGAGGTAGGGGAGAAGAAAAACAATTACAATGGAATATGCAAGTTTAAATGTTTACCAAATAGGCTTTCAATGGGTTGGTCTTATCTGGAAAATTTGAGCAGAAAAAGTCTGAATCCACAGTAGAAATTTCTGGAAATCAGTGGGATTTTTTTTTTATTTTTAAGCTTGTTTTGTAATTATTTAAGTCAGGGGTGTTGAACTCATCTGTCCCCTAGAGCCAAATGATTGGCACAAGGCTGGTCCATGAGCGAGATCAGCCATATAGATACTCCCGCTTACATGCTTGATCCAGCACATGCAGCACCCACCCAGGCTGGTTTGGGATGCTGGCCCAAGTGGGCACCAGAGGTGGCAGCACCACCTGGGACCCAGTTGCAACGAAAGCTGTGGGTGACAATGCCACCCAGGATCCAGTTGCAGCACAGGCCCAGTCCAGTGCAGCATGTGGGTCAATGGGACAGCACTGGGGGCCAGATTATGGGACTCCATGGGCTAGGTCTGGTTTACAGCCCATATGTTTGAGACCTCTTATTTAACTTAAAGGCTTCTTAAAATAATCCTTTAAAAACACTGCCAGTTTAATTCAGACACAAATATAATATCTTAACTTCTATTATTATTATTAGCATTAATGTTACTTTTTAAAATTACCATCAAAATATGGGAAATCTTGTTTTTCCTAATTCTCCTAATTTTTCTGATGGTATTTTGTAGACACTATATTCTCTCTCCCTGTGGAGCTAGTTTTCCCAGATCTGTTTATCCTCAGTGAGAAATGCTGTTTTTCATACAAACCCACAAAACTAAGCAATGAACATAGAGCCTGACATAGTGTCAGAATAATTGAGTAGCAGATTAAAAACACTTGATTTGTGACAATAATAAGATTTATAGTTAGCAATGTCAGACTTACTTATGTTCTGCTATATCCTTAAGGTAGCAGCCCCTGTGGGGAGCAGCTAAATGGTTATCCAGCAATACAGATATTTTTAAACCTGTTCTAAAAGTACGGGCAAGAAACTAGTAACCACAGAGGAAAATGGGGCAGTGATTTGCCATACTTTTGCTAGTCCACAGAAACTACTAGTGTGAGTCCTCTTACCCAATGCTAGATGAAATATAAGCTGAGGTAACTCTAGACTGAGAGGCTGGAATGCAATATAGCATTTACCATAGAGCAGCTGACAAACAGCAAAACCCCACCTCCTTTTCTGCTGTGGTAACTTGTCTACCCCTACCCTAAAAATTCCTTAACCATACTTTAACAAACAGTGTTTTTAAGTTACAGGATTGGTGCTTCTGGCTTTCAAGTCTTTGTAACATATTTGGAATTTCCATTTAAGAAGAAATGTGTTCACATGAAGAATATCATTTTGTTAAATAATGTTCCTTTATAAACATTTATTTCAAATACAGAACCCAGGCCTGCAAACATTTAGACACTACCTATTGAAATCAACTAGTCACTGTAGCAAAATGTAAGTTTTGGAACATTAGCAAAATTAAGGTCCTAGATATCAGGTGATTTTGATACTTTGCTTCCATCAATAAATGTAGAACTGAAAAACGAACTGCAGGAGAATTATATGATTTCACTGAAGTACTCCTGAATAAAGTTGGAAAAACTTGAGAAGAAAGAATACTGTATATATTTGCCACAGCTATATAATTACATATTTGTTATTTTTCAGTATTTGTAATATAGATTTACAAGAGGGTGAGCTGTATACTAAATTGATCTTTTAATGTAAAGTATGTAAAGTATTTCCTGACAATAGGTAGTGACATTATTATATAAACCATTCATATTTAATTTTCAAAGTATATATAAGCAATCTGTTGAGTGTATGATTAATGTAGTCTTTGTTGTTTTTTCCTCATATTTTTCTGACATTCAAACAAGAAACGAAAGAGGTAATTCAATACGTCGATTCTTAATACTTTTTATTTACTTGCTTTTGAAATGTGACATGGGATTTTCCATACTGCTGTGTTTGTTGTTTTTACAGCAAGAGGGAGAGACTGAATACAAATTTGAATGGCAGAAAGTAGCTCCGCGAGAAAAGTAAGTATGAAATCCGTCCTTAGTGCTAATATACATGCCTCTCCTTATTTGCTTTTTCTTCTGAACTATTCCTGGCAGGTGGTTTCCCTTTGGTTAATCTATTAAGTGCTAATCTTACTGCTTTCTACTTTTCTTACACTATCACAGTTTCACAGTTAAGCTTCTAATGCTGGAACACATCACTTAGTCTGTCAGCTTAGTTTTGTCTCTTGTCTGAGTTCTGGCTTCACATTTCAACAGATCAGTTTTACTATTTGACACTTAAGTACGGCTTTGAAATAGACTTGCATCCTCTGTACTACGCTTTTTGTAGTAGTTATGGATATGATATTTTTCCTAGTTATTTGATTTCTATTTTACTTGGTCTTGAAAATTTAATCTTTCTTTCTGTGTGTGTGTGTGTGTATAACAGATATGCTAAGGATGACATGAATATCAGAGATCAACCATTTGGTATCCAGGCAAGTTACATAAATTTCACTATGTGGTTATCTTAAGAATATGTCAGAGGTTTGTGTAATCACTGGACGTTTATGTGGACTTTTAATTTTCCTCATCTCTCACTCAATCAATTTATAAGCCTTGCGCCTAAGTACTAGAACAGGACTGTCTAACTGGTGGGCTAGGGGCTACATGCAACTCCTGAGGAGTTAAATCATGGCCCCCAGGCTCCTGATCCAGGTACTGCTCCCCCCCCCTTTGTTTGTCTTGTTGCTGCCTCCAGAATCCCCAGGCTCTCCCCACCTCCAATTCCCACTGCCTGTCTCCACCCCTGGGGGTGGAGAGGAGCAGTGCGCCTCATGAAGCCAAAGAAGCCTCTGGTCATAGGGCTTGGGAAGTCTGGGGCGGGGGCCACATCATGTTGTCTGTACAAACAAGATACCTGCATGGTGTGGCCTGCCCACAGGGAAGGAGCCCACGTGGTACAGCTGGGGCAGCACAGGAGATGCTTGGTTCATGTGGTGGGTGGCCCCCTCAACCACTCAAAAGTTGAACAGCACTGTACAAGAAGACAGGAAGCTTTGTTAGCTCAGTTCCATCAATACTCTTTGTTCTTTAGGTGCGGAATGTGAGGTGTATTAAATGCCACAAGTGGGGCCATGTTAACACTGACCGAGAATGTCCTTTGTTTGGTCTTTCTGGAATTAATGCAAGTTCAGTTTCCAACGATGGTTCAGGTAGGCATTAAGAGAATGTATTTTAAATGTTTTGAAAAGATACTGGCCAGACTTGTTACAGGTATTTCTCAGTTCTAAATTAGGGATATATGATTATATCCTACTTCAAACAGAAGAAATAAGCAAGGATTCTTCATTCAAATGTAGTTTCCGTTTGTAATATCACAATAGTCATGTTTCAGATTCAAAAGATCGAATTAGTAATGACTGAAAAAAATCATTTGAATATTGTCACTGTCACATATGTCACTGTGGTGACATTGCTCTGTCCCTTTTCATGGGCAGTTAGGTCTGAAGCAGCCTGATTCCCTATATCAGATGTTTAACACAAAAGTATCTTCTTTTACAAGCTAGTATGATCAGTCATCAAAATCATACAGCCACAATTTAGGCTGAAACCGAGAGCCAGGACAAGTAAGGGTACACTGAATCAGACTGGTGAAAATGGATTTTTTCCCTCTAAATATTTAGACACTTCATAGATCTAATAGGCAAATAATTCACAAGTAATAATTCCTTTCTGCCATCTTGCTTGTTGAGTAGAAATATGCTTTCAGCATTCAATTATATATTGACTTATATTATTTGGTCTTTCTCCATTAATAGGTACTACACTAAATTTATTTTAAATGAATAAGATAACTAATTTTTTTCAGCTATCAAAAAAGTCATTTGTACCAAAATTGTGACATCTTAACACTTTTTTGCAATCATAACAGAAAATTTGTAAGCGACTCTAGATGCCCTGAGAGGGGTACATACTAAAAACAAACAAAACAAGGAGACTTCACATTGAAACGTTCCGCTTTGGATCATACAAAACGTTATAGTGATAGAATGAATTGTATTTTCAGTTCAGATGCTCATGAAGATCTTTGCAGTCAGTACCCTTGATAATGTTCTGAGAGAAGCCATAGATTAGAGCTGAGTTCTCTCTTAGCATACCAACTCCCTTGCTATATCTAGCTGGACTGGTTCCAAAAGGCAGAAAATGGTTCAGTGGGGTGAAACATCAGAAAATGTTTAAAGAAATGGTGTGTTTTCATCCATAGTTGCTACAGTATTAGGCATTGTTTGAAAATTGTACCATCCTAATAATAGCCACTAGTTGATGGCAGTTATCCTAAGCCTCTATTCAAGGGCTAACAACATGGGCGGGTAAAATAAGGCCCGTGGGCTGGATTTGGCCTGCCAAACACTTTCTTCTGGCCTGTGGCACCCGCCAACTAATTGTACTCCACCAAGCCCTTCCATCCACAAGGCGCCCACTATACACACCCTGACATACCCTATTACACCTCACTTCCACCCTTGTGGACAGAAGGGCCCGACCCAGCCAGCACACAACTTCTGAACAGGGCTGCTGCTGCCACTGCAGCTGCCAGGGGACCTGCTATGCTTCATCTGCATCTCACTTGCTCTGGGTAGTAGGTAGGGAAGCAATGGGGGTAGGGTCAGCAGGGGAGCTGCAGCTGGGTGGGAGCATGGACCATGGGGCTGGCAGCAACATGAAGCCTGTGCCCAAGGGCGTGGCAGCAACACAGAGTTCGGGTGGGCAGGTTGTGGGTGTGAGGGAGAGTGGGAAGGTGTGGGCACCCCCCTGCTCCCACCCATGGCACGCAGCCTCAGCTGGTGGTAGCAGTAGGCAGGGGTGCTTGGGGCACTGGTGCCTGGTGGTATGCGACTCTGGCCAGCACTGCACATGGGGGCAAGGAGCGCAGCCCAGCCAGGCTGCCTCTATCACCAGGGCTCTCCATGGCGCACATTCAGTTTCCATATTCACATGCTAGTGGAGAGAAATTCAATGCACTGGAGCCAGCTGCCTTCACCACTCCCTGCTACACAGGTCCTGGTATTACGCGGGGAAGCTGGAGCCGGGGCTCCTCTCCACTTCCAGCGGTGTCCCAGGACGTGCATGGCAGGGAGCAGTGAAGGCAGTCGGCTCCAACGTGTGGAGCTTCCCTCTGGTGACGTGCAAGTGTGGAAGTTGTACATATGAGGTGGGGAACCCTGGAGATAGAAGCAGCTCAGCTGAGCTACGCTCCTCGCCCCCATACGTAGTGCTGGCCAGAGCCGCACACCACCAGGCACCCCCACCTGCTGCTGCTGCTTCTGTTAGGAGCTGCACACCATGGGGAGAGTGTGGAGGTGTCCCCCCAGTCTCCCTCACACCCCACAAATGCCACTACCCTCCCACATATACCCCCCCACAATCCACCATACACACTCTCCTACACAATATACAACACTAAGACTTTATTTTTGAGTTGTTATACAATCACTGCACACCCCCTCCCCTGTTGATTTATGTCGGTATAAACCCATTGATTTAAATAGAGCCCTATAATCACAAAATTAATAAATAAGATAATTTAGTGCCAATAGAATTTTAGCAATGTTCCTACATTCCTTCTCCCTACTTACGTTGTCCTTCTTAACTGATATTGTTTACTTCCTATCATAATCTCTCATGTTGAACACTTTTAGTAATTTTAGATGCTTTTTTTCACTTAGATCAGAGGTTCCCAAACTTTGACAGATTGCATACCACCAATTTAAAACAATACAACCTTACCACCAGCAATTTGTACAGTTCAACCTTAAGTACCACCAGCAATTTTTATCATATAAAGTCCTAATAAATCTGTTAACTGCGTACCACTGGTGGTACCTGTACCACAGATTGGGAACCGCTGACTTAGATAAACTGCTCCTGATATATACCACTCACTAATACAATGTTGAAGCTAGACTACATGAATGGTGGAATGGTTGCTAATGAATCTCAAGTTTATCAGTGGTATGCTTTTGAAACTAGGACTTGTTGTCTCATGAGTAAAAAGCTACATTTCTAGCTATGTTGGCACCAGTGGGTGGTAGCACATTTAGTTCATAGATGATAAGGAGTGACTTACCTTGCTCATTGCCTATTCCATACACTTACAGAAACACTTAGGCTGTCCTGTCTACAAAATACAATAAGAGTGCTAAAAACTTCATTGCACACTGTTTAAAAGAAGGGTTGAAACATGTTGTATCTACATGATGGGGAACCATGTAAAAATCATATTGCCTTCTGTCTCCAGCCATGTTTGAAATCAGTTGCATTGTAACAAAATTCCAAAGTCTTTAAGGGAATGTTATACTAAATGTAGAACAAACATTTCCTTTCCAGGCCTAGTCTGGCAAATAAGGTGGCAGCAATTATTCTACTAACAAATCTTTATTGCATGGAAGAAGAGAGGGGACTTGCCTAACTTCAGAGATTTTGAACATTCTGTTTTGTCATAATCAGGAAACAAAAAGAGGAATTTATTAGCTAACCCCATTAAAATGCAATTGGATGTTATTAGAGGACTGCCTGTTTTGTTTCAAATAACATGTAGTTTGAAGTGGTAGTTTTAAATCTGGTGAGTCTAAGGGTAATTTTTTTTTCAAGTATATAGGTGACTAAGAAACCTAAGTCTGTTTGAAAGTCAGTACTATTTACAGTTAATGCAGAAGCTGTTTGTTTAGTTGAGGCTGAGATGCTATATCAATTGTGCTGAAGAGACTAAAGGGGTGAGTAGAATCATGAATATTTGCTTTACATTATGATGATCTGCTGCTAGGCAACATTTTCACTCATTTCAGTGATTTCTGATATTTTCTTGACAGTCTTCTTGGTTAGCCTACTATTAGAAGGTCCTTTTTTAAAAAAAACATTTCTATGTGCTTTGTTTTTCAGATGGTTGAGAACAATGTACTTGACTCTTAATTGCTTGTATTAAGTTTGTCAGTTATGAAAAACAGTCTTTAGAAAGTTGGCTTTTCTTTGCTTTGTGTCGAGTACTCAGTGCTAAATATGAAGCTGCAATTGAAAAACAATAATTACTGCCACTACAACATGTATAATAATTTTTAATAGGTAATCAATCAAAAGTTTGAGTGGTAGCATGTTAAGGAGATGGTGTGGAAATACCTTCCTATAGGATTCAGCACCATATCTATTTTGGGTACTGACCAGCACTGATTTCAGTAGAGCAGTTATTCTCAACTAGGGTGTTGGGGCACCCTGGGGTCCTATAAGATTCTTTGAAGGGTGTCACAGGAAGTGTGAGGAGATAAGTGAGGTATGAGGAGGAAAGCAGATATGAGCAAGTTCAAGCTCAGGCTCCCCCTGGCAAGGAGGGAAGTACCGTAATGAATAAATTAGTATTTGAAATGGGGTGCTGCTTAATTCAGAAAAGTTATGGAAGGGTGCTTTGAGGTTAAAAAGGTTAAGAACCACTGCACTAGGGATTCTTAAGGTGGAATTGCAGTAGAATTGACCTATACCAGGGGCGCCCAAGATCCAGCCTGTAGGCCAGAGCCAGCCCACAGAGCTGTGCCCTCTGATCCATGGAGCTACCCACAGTTCAGAAATCTGGCAGCGTGGTGGTAAGCAGTGGCAGCATTAATTGCCCCAGCTTCCAGAGCCGCAGCAATTTAATGCTGTGACTTCCAAATTCTAGCCCTCTGGGCCAGATAACATGGCTGTGTGCTCTGGATCCAATTTACAGATTGGACCTGTGCCATTCGTCTGGCCCACGGGGCTGGAGGAGTTGAACACCACTGGCCTATGCAAATTTAAAGTATATGTATGCTGCTAATGAGAGCCCTGTGTTTGAGGGAGGAAACTGGTATTTCTCAACATGCAACGCTGTAGTAAACAGCAAAATAAGTCCAAAAAGTTGGGCGCATGAAACAAACCAAGGAATAGAGAGCATTTTACTAATCCAGTTGGTGATTCAGGCAAAAAAAAAAATGATCTTACCATTTAAAAAATACTCATATTGAATAATATCTCACCAGTGAATAGAGATTATTTTTGCAATAAGGCAATTTCGGCGGACATGGTTATCATGGGATAATCACACCCCTGGGGTACAGCCTTGTCTGTAATCTCCCAGGAGTGTAATTATTTCATGATAACTGCACCCCCTGGTGTTGCATTATTTCCATTATGAAATTCTTAGTTT